GTAACGACCTCAGCCTTGGCTTGGTAGGCGAGAAGGAGGGCATGGATCTGGTTTAAAAATCCAGTTCATGTTGCATCTTTGATAAATTTGGGCATGTATGAACTGCCGATTTATTTCAAACTGATTTCCAAATTTGGGAATATAGGGCCTTGAAACAACAGCTCCGATTAATGTTTTATCTTGTTAGTCTAACATAACAGGATAGAGCTGAAATTAAAGCCTGCATTTCCAATACCAATCTAGCATGGTTCCACGGACTAATTTATAATAATAAAAGAAATTTGACACATTGTTTTCTTGATGAAGTAAGCAATCATTTATTTATTTTTTCTCAAATTACCATGTCGCTTTCTTGCCACTTTGCCAGCTATTGCCGAGATATGCATTGGACCTGGTCCTGGCATGTTTCATGTGCCTTCTGTTTAGTATTGATAATCACCACACGTAACATGTATCTGTCGCAGGCGTGTGAGCTATCCGCACGCTTTATAGTTATGCAATGCACATCGTCGCGTTATGATTCCATTGCTATTGTGATTATTTGCTTAAGCTGAAAAGCATGTGCACTGGGAGCGTCCAATTGCTTGTGCTGCGTGCTGATGATGGATTTCCCCCCTCAGTTTCTAACCATCAAATGGTTTCCTTGCAGTGGCCATCTTGAGAACTATACCAGTGACTACACCGTACAGGTGTTGATAGGTTACTGTGCTGTGTACATTTTCATGCAGACCTTCATGATCCCAGGGACAATATTCATGTCATTGCTTGCTGGTGCTCTGTTCGGGCAACTCCGGGGTGTGGCTCTGGTTGTCTTTGCTGCCTCTGCTGGTGCTTCTTCATGCTTTTTCCTGTCGAAGATGATTGGAAAACCGCTGGTGTTCGTGCTGTGGCCAGACAAGCTCACATTCTTCCAGAAGCAGGTAATAAGTTCAGCACCAATATTAGTCATTGTGGTTTTATTTCAACACTGTGTAGTGTCATAACATCTTAAATTTCTTTGGGAATGCTTAAAAATAATTTGAATCACTGTACTCTTTGATTTAAGATCCTTTAGAACTGTGTAGTAACTCATAGCTGAAAATGGGTGATTTGTCTGCATTTCCAGGTCGCCAAAAGAAGAGAAAAGCTGTTGAATTACATGCTTTTCCTCAGGGTCACCCCAACATTGCCAAATACATTCATCAACTTGGCATCGCCCATTGTTGATGTGCCCTTCCATACCTTCTTATTGGCAACTCTTATCGGTCTCATCCCAGCAGCCTACGTGACCGTGAGGGTAAGTTTCTTGCTTCAGATATACTGCATGTCCATATACTGCCCTTGAGTGCATACAATGCTAGTGCTAACTTCAATCCCACTGCCTGCTTCATTTCTTGTATCCAGGCTGGGATTGCTCTTGGAGAGCTAACATCGCTCAGCGACCTGTATGACACCCAGTCAGTAGCCCTGCTTTTCTTGATCGGCGTGGTCTCGGTCACACCAGCATTGTTGAGCAAGGACGAGGCGCAAGACACGGCACCAGAAATCGCAGCAGGCGCCTCATGAACACCGAAGAGGAGTCACCTAGCCCACCTGTACATACCAAGGCACAGCATGCGGCGGCTTCATTGGATTTGGGCCATACAGGCCTTGTGAGGTGGATGACACATGGTTTGCGAGTTCACGCGACGACACAGCAGCACGGCGGGACCTTGGACCCCAAGTCTGCCCGTCACCCGCCTGCTGGAGATCTGCGTCGCCACGAGAACACTATTTCATTTCATGGTCACCCCCACATTGTTTGTTATGAATGAATCTGGGAAGCACAATGCCCATCCACAGGCAAGATGCTTCGGATGTGTAGACAAGTAGCGTGTGTGCCGTTCGTCAGCCCGCGATGCTGTTTATTTAGATGGAACTGGCAGCTAGTCCAAATCCTTGTATATATATTGACCAGATTCATTCAATCCATATTCAGTGGTTCAATGACAATTTGTCTGTTGCTGCGCCGTTCCCCTTCTTATGTGCAGCTTGATTTTGCTGTACCTTTCCCCTTATGTGTAGCTGGATTTTTCTGAGCCCGGGGTTCAGGTTTTTATATCTCAGCCGGTTCAATCTGCTTGCCTGTCACACTTGACCATCAGTACTCATGATCTTTTTCGGGGAAACACCATGATGAACTTTCTTTTTCTTTGAGATGACAGCATGATGATCCTGAAAGGGATAGTGTCAAGTTTTGGGCCAAATTGTTTTCTTAGAGAGTAGTTTTTCAGGTAAAATTTTCAGGATAGTGTCAAGTTTTGGACCAAGCCGTTTTCTTAGAGAAGCGTTTTCAGGTAAAATTTTAGGGCAGATATGGTCATTTTTTTTTTTTGAGGATCAACTAAGGTCAGTTTTTTTTTTTGAGAATTGCTAAGGTCAGTTTTTTGGACGGGCCAAATTGGGGTAGTGAAGCCCAGATAAGAATTTAAGACGGGCTTTGACTGGCCTTGGCCCATGCAGCGGCCACCATCCCGCCGTCTCCTCCACTGGTCAGAGACGCGCCGCAAGCCGCCAAGCGCCCAAGCCGGAGAGCGAGGCACATGCTGGGCCTTCTCCGCCGCCGCGCCGCATCCTCGCCGGCGGCGAGCCTCCAGCTAGTGAGTCCAGCTTCCGCTCTGCTGTTTTGTGTTCCGCCGTTTACGAATCGCTCTGTTTGCTGCTTTGGCGGATTGGGGAAGTAGTTGCCCGCGAGAAAAATCCAAGGATCCACCAGGTACACGTTGCTTCGCTGTAGAACCCTAACCTAGGCAGGAGGAGTAGATGTAGGGCCAAGTAGAGAAATGGCTGATTTGCATATCTGAGCTCTGTGCTTGTGCGGTGTGTCGTTGGGAAGATCGGACAGGGGTCAAGAGCCTCGGTTAGTGTGGAATTTTAATGAGGCTTCTGTGCAAAACGCGAATCTGTAGTTCATGGGAAAATATATTTCGATTGTTTTCTGGTTGCGATTGTGAAGTGGGACAGTACATTTTGGTGACCCTGTCGTGATATTTTGGCCTCTGAAATGTGCAGTTCCAGTGCTGGTACCATCGAAGCAGCGAGAGACTATTGCCTTGCCGAGGTAAGTTTGGGGTCTAGCCATACCGTACTCCTCTTTTCCTAGTTTTTAATCACTGGTGACCAGAAACACAAAATTATGCTGTGCAAGATCATACCATGGATTAATAACTTCCTTTTCAGTTATGTTGTTCATTCTCATTGGTTCAGTCAGTTATAACTGTTTGCACTTCTTTCGCCTACTCCGCATTGCACAGAGAAGACCAGGAAGTTTCATATGGTCTCAATTGGGCTATTGCTGCGAGAGGCGTCGTCGTAAAAGACAAGGTCTTCTATAACTTGGAGCCATCAGAGCTTCAGAAAAGTGGTACTACTTATGCAGGTATATACAAATTAATGTCATTAAGTCATGGTGTGTATATTTACATTTGATGCTGCACAGATGTATAACCTGGTACCTGCTTCTGGAGCATGCAGAGCGTTTGTCTGGTACTCCACTTCATGTTAAAGGAAATGTCATTGGTGGGTTCCCTGATATTTCAGGAGCTCAATTTGCAAAGCTTCTGAAACAGGTAGGTTATTTATTTATTATTTTACTCTCCATGGCTTGGTAACACAATGATTCTCATGAACTGACGGAAATTCAGAAGCACCATTGGCCTCATTTTGTCAGCCGACAGAATTTTAACTTACTACTTTCCAGTTGAGCTTCAGTGTCAATGTGTTTGATTGTCTGTTTGCTTCTGTTAGGTGACCTTCCACCTTTCATCCATCTCAAGTCTTTATGTCCAAGATGGTGCCATTGGTTCATCTGCAGAATGTGATGCAAAGGTCCGTGTTATTAGTGACAACCCCTCTGCCATCATGTCACTCTCCAATATCCTTCAGAAAATACCAGATCGTGTGATTTCCCACGACACATGCCCTTTGACTATATATGTTGCCAGTTCCATCAGGTAATTTATCTTTTTAGTTCTTCTACACATTTTTTAACTTGTGCATGCATTCAAGTTGCCACCAAGAGCTCGGAGCATTAGCTGTAGTTGGCGGTTGGCCATATCATAAGACTGGACTAATCTATTGCCTTTCTTGTTGAGCATTGCTTAACAGTACCAACGTCAGGAATGCTCTGGGTTCAGGGACACAATATGCTAATGGAGTTGCAGTGGCAGACATAGAACGCTCATCACTTATCCTATGTGGTAAAGCATTTGCTGATTCCACTATGCTAAAACATGCACTTACTGCTTTGGCTGCCCCTATACTGTCTGCAAGAGGAGGCCTCCCCGTCCCTGGCTGGTAGAGTCTGCCTGATCTTTCTTTTTACCCTTTCCCTAAATATGTTATTATTCATCTTCCATGCTGTGTGTACCAGGCTTCTGTCTTGTGCTGGTTCTATTGTACTGCTGTTTGCTCCAGTGGAGGTCATCAAGTCCTGCTCCGAAATTCAGGATGTTCTTGTCTCCACTGATAGCGGTGTAGTTATCTCTTCAAAACAATCTAGTGTGCTGTTCCCAACAAAGTCAAGAGCACCACAGTTGTTTACCAAACCAGCTACAGTGGTTGTTGTATCATCTGATAGGTAATGGAGAGCATGTGCTTCATGGGTACAAGTAGCAGGTTAAAATGAGAAGGAATGAGACATTATATCTACTGTGCTAACAATATGTTACCTTCTTCTGTACTTTCAGCACTGATGCCCTGCCATTGGTATCAAAGCTCACTCCAGGTCAGGCAGCCTACCATTTCTTAGCTGGCTATGAGGATGGTAAATTTGTCCCAGCTTACAACAGGGCCCCCTCTCCTTTTGACCAGCTTGCCCTCGCAAATTCCTTATTTCTGCATGTATGTTGCATAATTTCCTTGCTTTCCCTCTCTATAGCCTTTTAGCTAGCCTTTATTACAACAATTGTTGGTTTAGTATGAACGTGAGAACGTCAAATCTGAGAAAGTTGAGTCTCTACCCTTGCAGTTGAAAAACGACAAGACACCAACTTATCTGATCAATGCCAAGAGCTCCGGAAAGCAAATTGATGGTACAATTTACATTCAGCGTGCCCTTCATTTATTATTCTGTTTGATTTTCTGGAACGGAGGCCACTTCAGACACTATGAATTACAGGCAAGGACTTGATGAGACTAATCGAGCTGGCGCAATCTAACGGCATGCCAGACAGCAGCAAGCCTGAGGACACTAGAGGTAAATAGCTGTTATGGCACCAAACATATAGTCAACACCAACCATGCAGTGTGCTTGTTTTCTGTCGTTGAAGTACATGCCGTTTGATTGCAGTGGCTGAACTCAAGGGGAAGTACAGGGGCTTTATATCCGGCAAGTTCGGCAAATTTTTACCCGAGGAGTTCTCATTCTGATAGATATAAGTGTTAACCTAATTCAGTGTACGGTGTTTTTACGCCGGGGCCTAGATAGGCTTTGTTGCGTTCTGAATTGAGCTGAGATAGGCTACCCCAATCTCCTTCCTGAACAAGAGTGCATCATTAGCTTTGTCTCCTCTTGGTGTTGGGATGCAGAGCTGCTGTGCCTTCGTAATAATCTCATTAGCAGGTCGTGCACTCCAGTTTGTGTCACAGCAGTAGGTAGTTCATGGCCCCAGTGAGCGTCGTGAGCTCCTGTTGTTACAACAAATACGACGGTGATGCAGACGCAGTGCGGCGTCTCAAGGACGCAGAGGCCGGTGCCGCCACTCCGGGACACATGCCATGTAGTGGCAGGAATATTGAGCCCTGCTGCTCTGTTTATCATGCAGATTGCAGAGATGACAGATCTTCACATGGTTTCAGCGAGGACTGGTGCTGCGCCGGGGTCCCCTTCCGGTTCTCCTCTTTATCTTACCTCCATCCACCCCCTCCCCAGCTTCTCCCAGAATTGTCACTTCATCTTTTTTTATAATTCCTAGCTAGTTAAGATCTAATTAGCTAGGAATTGTAAGAAAATATAGAGTGCCAATTCTGGGAGAAGCTGGGAAGGGGGTCAATTCTCGGAGAATTGCCCAAAAGAACTGGCCCTTAGACGTGCACCAGGCATATCATCACTGGACGCATTTGGCCGTTTACAGAATTTTGGCATATGCTGGGCGACTGAAAATCAAACCGGCATGGCGGGCGGCGAGAGGCGCTCGTTGTAGTACATTGCAGTAGGCCTCATGTTTTTGTGCTGCTGCAGGTACACTCTGTCGCCTGTCAATCCTTTGGCACACATTAACTGAACCAAAAAGCACGCTGCGTATCAATTCTGCTGTACATACACAACACATTGCCTACTAATCTGGCGGGCCTGTGTTGACCTGGAAGGCTGGAGCAGTAGGGGCCTTTGTACCGAGTGGCCACCCTTCAGAGACAGGCTAGCCCCCCGCCCCAAGGTACCACTACTACCACCCATCTGGAGCCAATAATTTGCGGGTGCATTTTGTCATTGGAAAGTTCATCGCTCCACCATAGGACCTACAGTAGAACTTCCAACATGTACTGCATCTTTGTGAGTTGTGAGTCACATGAACGATGCATAATGCATGCATCATAGTGCAGGCCTCCCCTCTTGTGCCGGCCTTTTTAGCCCGGGTGGTTGGGAGAAATGTGGAGCAACAGCAAAAGGGTTAGCTGGAGTGGAGCAAACCCCATTATTTGATTGATGGGCAACAGCCTCATCAGGAGCCATACTACTCCTGGCTGGCTCACATGCTTTGGTCCTCCTCCATCAGATGGTACAGCAGATTTTACCCCCATTGCCACCATCATCATTCTGTGACATCAGGTCAACAGGAACATGGAGAGAGCACCATGATAGTACTCCTTCAAAATTTCAATTTATATCTGTTCAAAGAATTTGCTTCAACAAAAACAAAGAACTGCATTGATTTGGAAATCTCTGTTCCATGTACAACACCATTACCCAGGGCATATGTATGAATAAATACAATCACTATGACTACAACATGAATCATCATCACTGAACTTACACAAATGCAAGAAACAAACGCATGGCTGTAAATACAATCGGCCGGCTCTTTTGTATTCTCTGAAACACCCAACACTTGCTTTACCATGATGACAGACTCAGAAAACTAGAGGCATGGGCGGGTGGCTAGTCAAAGAAAGGAGATGTCACATAGCATACAACAAAGGAACAAACATAAGATGGTGATCTTGTGCTAATTTGAGCTCTTTTTCTTCAGTAAGCCGCTAAATTTAAATTTCTTCTTCTTTTGCTGCTGCTGTTTGGTCGGCGATGTGATGCCGTTGTTCAGCTTTGCGGACTGCAGCCCGTTGCTGTCGAGGCCGGAGTCTCCCTTGTTGGACTCCAGATCGACTTCGGACTCGCCGTCGTTCTCCTTCTCCTTGGACGAGTCGTAGTCGGTAACCTTGCTGTTCTCCCACATCTTGGCAACCACCACAACCGGCTCGTCATCCACACCGCCTCCGTTCTCATTGTCTTCTTCCTTGTTGCCACCATTTGTTGTTCCATTCGGCACCAGGAAAGAGAGCTCTTTTATCTTCTCCGAAGCAGCCGATTCCTTTGCCTGCAAGTCCTCGTTCTCCTCTTGTATGTTCTGTAATTCGTTCTCCTTGTCTAATAGTTTGTCCTTCAATTGCCGGGTCTCGGCCTTGGCTTCCTCGCTAGCCTTGTTGGCTTCAACTAGCTGAGCTTCCAGATGATTCATCTTCTCCAGCAGCTCGGTATTTTCAGCTTCTTTTTCATTCACCACGGCCAAGTACTTGTCCATTTGAGCTTTGACAGCAACGATCTCTTCTTCTGACTTCCTAATAGAGTTGACAAAACTTAGCTCTTTGGACTGCCATTCCTCAGACACGTTCTTAGCTTCTGCCTCCATTCTCTCAACGGACTTCTTGAGGCAAACTTTCTCGTAGTTTACTTCATCGAGCATCACCTCATAGCTCTCCTTGGCATTCTGCAGACTATTGTTGAGTTCCTCTACTTGTGCCCGAGCGTGCTCGATCTCTTCCTGTTTGATGAGGTATTTCTCCTGGGCCTCTCTGGATTCAGCTGACATCTCGTGCAAGGCAGAGGCCAGACCCTCCATTGCCTTCTTAACCTTCTCGACTTCATCTTTGCTAGCTTCTAGCTCCTTGGTTAGCTCGTTCTTTTGTTCAGTCAGGGCCGCGATTTCTGAACTTGCAAGCTGGTCATTGTTCAGCGCCTTTGTTTTCTCATCTTCTACTGCCTGTAGCTTCATCCTTAGCTCTTCGATCTCTGCAATTAGGTCAGATGCATCTTTCTCTGCAGCATCAAGACGCTCACTTGTCACGTCAATTTCTTCCTTGAGCCTGGTCACCTCATCCTCCAAGGATCTGACGTTGTCATGAAGTACAGCAGCTTCAGATTCTTTGTCTTTAAGCAAAGTGCTTGTTTCATCTAATTCTTCCATCACTGAATCCAAAGACTTGCCTTTCAAAATGAGAGACTGATCGGCTTCCTCCAATTGGAACTCCAACAGCTGCACCTTCTTCTTCAATTCATTAGCCAACTCATCTGACTTTGAGCATTCCTTCTTGGCATTAGCAACATCAACTCTAAGCTGTTCAACCACACCCTCCAATTCAATCACCTTCTTCTCAGCTAGCTTTGCTTTCTGCAATTCAAGCTTCAACACAGAATTCTCTGCCTCAAGCTTTCCGATTTGGTCAGCAGCTTCCCTCGACTTGCTCTCCACCTCGGAATCAAGCAGCCCCTTCAGGCGCTCCACCTCCGCGTTGAGGAGCTCGATTTTCTGAGTATTCACCTCGCAAGCCCTCATGGCATCATCTGCCTGGCTAAGCGCCCAGTTCTTGGCATCAATTGCATCTGCCAGCTCATACCTTGCCTTCTCAAGCTGCTCCACCGTCGAATGCAGCGCGGCTGCGTCGGCCTCCTGCTGGCTCTGCATGCTCTTCAGCTTCCTCCGCAGCTCATCTTCCTCGCCGTGCGCAGAATCATTGTTGCTCACCTGCTCAGGTTCCATGGAATGGACCTTCTGGATCTCCACGGTCCTGCTCTGCACATCGAGCGCCTCCTTGAGCTTCGCATTGGCCTCATCGGCCACCTTCTTGGCGCACTCCAGTTCCTCCAGAACCTTGCCCTTCTCTTCTTCCTTCTCCACAAGCTGACCCATGGCCTTCTTGAGCGCCTCTTGGACGGCATCAAGCTGCGCCTGCAGCTCCTGGGACGGCTTGGCGGCCTGCCGCTCGGGAGATGGCTTCCCAGCCTTCCCCTGCTTCTGCAAGCCAATCAAACGACTAAGATTCCACTAAAGCTAAAGCAGGAAGCATGCTTTGTGCATCACAAGCAGAGGAGGAATCGTGCGTACCTCTGCAGGAGGAGGGGTGGTGGCGGTGATCCGGGTTGGGGTGGCGCCCTTGGGCGACTTGCGGTCGGCGGACCTGGGGGACTTGTCGGCCGTGCGCGGCGCGCTCGGCGGCGTGCCATGGGCGGCATTCGCCTTGGGGACGGCCGGCTTCCGCGGCCTGTCGCCCTTGGGTGTCGGCGGCGTCTCGCCCCTGGGTGTCGGTGGCGTGCCCTTGCCGTTGCTCCTGGCCTCCGGCTTGGCGCTCGGCTTGCTGCCGACCTTCCCCTCCGGCTTGCCGTCGCCCTTGGCGTCGGCCAGGCCAGATCTGCTCACCAGAAAAGGCAAAAAACTACCGTCAGATCAAGAACTCGGCAGCTCCATCCCCAACCACCAAGATCCGAGCCAGATCTATGCTATGCTCCAGGAAACCAAGCAAGCATGCTACCAAGAACCATCCAGCCCGTGCCGACCCATCACTCCAAAATAGAAACAGTGATAAAAGAATCGTAGGGGAATGCAGAGAGCGTCGGCGGATGACTCACTTGCTCCTGGCGCCCAGCATTGTGGACTCCCTGCCGCCGCCGCCGCCGCTGCTCCGGCCGCTACCCGGCGCTGCAGGCACGACGCCCACTCAGCGAGCGCGAAGTCGGGGGAGGCAGGAGTGGTGGGTGAGGGGGAGGGGGAGGTGGTGTTTTCTCTCCTTGGTGGGCGGTTATGGCAGGCAGAGTAGCTCCGTCCGTCTGCGGCTAGTAGAAGAACATGGAGGAGTGGAGGGGGGAGGAGGCCAGGTGGGGTGGGGCTGCGGAATTTCACTCGATGCGGACAAGGGAAAAAAGAGAGAGGAGAGGAAAAAGCAGGGACGGGTTTTGATCAGTGTCTCTTGTGGGGCAGTTCCCGCTCGCATTAACCTTTCCAGCTTTGCTGCCTCTGTTTTTATCCGAGAGTGGAGGGAGGTGCAGTGAAGGGCAAGGCAGCGCGCAGGAGTGAGACGGGTTAATCCGAGTGTTTAATTAGTAGTAAGTACTACTACTACTGGCAGCAGTGTCATTCCCGTCATGATCACCGCGCCAGCCAGCTCGCTCGCTTTACCACCCTACCCCGGGGTCGGGGCTGCGGCTGCGGCTGCGGCATCGCTTTCGCTAACCACCTCGCCGTTCTAATTCTATTCCGTGCAACCTCATAAAGCGTGGCGGCAGCCAATTCTTTCCCTCTTTCTTTTTTGGTTGTAGATGGAAAAAATCCTAATCAGCGTGTAATTGCGTGTAATTCTTTGTATGTTTATCATTATTGTTTGATGCGTGTGTGTGCGCGCGTAGGTGGAGATGAGGAAAATAAGGCCGCCTAAATGTCATCCCTTGTTTTCATTCGCCCCTTGGGTGTGTGCTCTTTCTATCATCATCATTTATTTATGTTCTGGTCCCTGCTGCTCGGAGAATTGACGTTGCCATTCGACGGGAAAACGCATGAAAGGCGGGAGTAGTATACTCGAACCGGGCTTGCTCTTAATTTTATTTTCCCTGCTTTTCATGAGACATCACCTGTCTACGGCCTATGCTATGGCGTAGTGTGGCTTTGCTGGCGAGACGTGACGCTTGAACCGCGCCTCGACTCATCCTCTCCGCTCTTCAGCGACCCAAACGCGTGCGCGCCGGTGCAATTCAGGACGCACGCACTTGAGACATGCAGGTATCAAACAGAAGGGGAAGCGGAGGGTGATGGCTTTGCGGGCGATCGCCGGGTCGGTGCGTCGCCTTGCGCTTCCCGGCGGGTGCGGGTTTCCGGGAAACTCGTGGAGCGCACAGCGCAGGCAAGGAAGGAACCGACACCCCTATGCGCGCGTGATCGGGAAGCCGGATTTGTTTAAGCACGCGGCTTTCGCGATGGGAGGAGGACTCCTGCGACGGCAGGGACGGGGACAGGGGCACGTCGCGGCGGTGCGCTGTGGTCTACTAGTCGCGGGATGACTCGCTTTGGAATTTGCCCACGGTGCTGTTGCGCGGTGGACGGAGGGCTCGGGACCCGGGAGATGCCGTCGTAGAAACTCGTAAAGCGGTAAACAGCTTGCTTCCGGAGTAAAACAGCCGCTCCACATGTATGTTTAATGGTACCACACGGTCATTAGCACATCATGTGCACACTACAACAAAACAATTACTGCTACTCGATGACAAATCGATGCCGTGTTGTGTTGTGGCCGAAATGTTACACGCAATCACCCGGTTCAATTATAGCATGCGATCACCGAAAATGATGCTATCACTTGCACGATTTTCTCGCTAGACAAGCATCCCTGGAGGTGGCGTTCAGCACTGCTACGCGGACGACTAATTCAGACGACCAGTGCACGGCGATGAATCCCAGCCACCGAAACTCGTCCACAGCCCACACTCTGTTCGCTGGATTTATTGTCGTTCATGGATCGGCCACGTGATGTCGTGTGTGGAGCAATTCCGAGGTGGCGTTTTGTACAGCCTTTTTGCTGCTTCGACATGACATTTTAGTTCTTTTAGTAACTTTAGAGATTGACATCACGCCGTGGTAGAGAGTGATCCCTCTCTGAAACATCAACGCGGTTTTGTATCAGTCCCCGACGTGGTTCGAACGTGTTTTCTCTCGTAAACCGCACCCGCTTCTGATCGCCCTGCCCAGACCGTCACTCGGCGGCCCGCATTCATGCCGCTGTAGAGCGCGCCGCTTCACATTGAAGGCGGCTCAGGACGGACACGACCTCTTGTTACCTCCGTAATTGAAGCAGCACGCCAGTGGAGAGCACCGCCCGCAGCACGCCCGACTGAATACGTCTCCTCGCCGAAATTCAAACGCCTCCATTAAACTCGCGTGAAAGCCGAGAAATAGGACGGAGAGAGTTTTGCTACTGTGTTCGATCACAATTCCATCCAACCAGATGTAACTCTTTTGCAGAAGAGTGACCTAGTAGAACAAATACCTTGTCGTATTGAGCATTACTGGTTTCATCTTTGCCCTTGCAATACTGGTAGTTTATCTTTTGTAGTATTTGTGTCGTGTGATTTCTCTTTTGTACCCGTATTGTTTTGTTTCGATCACTTGTCCATCCGTTTTTGGTATTTTTTCTTTGACATAATTGTTTCTGTTTAGCTTATTTTTCATTGTTGTGTACCGAGAGATTTCAAGTTTCTGAAAGAAATTTTAAATTTCTCATTCACCCCCCTGGTCGATATACTCCAGATCCTACAGTTGGGATATTCATAAATACCATATGGCCAACTAGGGGCTTGTGACAAAAAAAAAAGAATTTGGTGGATTAGGTATTCCTAATCTTAGAGAATTTAGTTTGATCTTGCTTGCTTCTTGGACCAAATGATATTTCCATGGTGATAATAAGAGTTGGTTGTCTCTTGTGGACTACAAATATAACACTTGTAAACCCAGTGTCATTTGGTCCAGACAGGGTGTGGGTTCTCCCTCTTGGAAGAGTGTTACCTGGGCATTTGCTGTTGTTAGACCTTTCTTTCGATGAATTATCGGAGCTGGTATTACCATTAGTTTTTGGCTTGATATTTGAGTTGGTGAGAATTCTTTGGAAACTAAGTTTTGGGATATTTTGGAAATATGGCCCATGTTTGGGATGGGACCAACCTTAAGCTAAATTTTATAAGATGTGTTGATTTTAATTTTTTTGGCTATATGGCATGAATTATTGTTATTGCTAGAGACTTTTGTCCCAAATTTAAATCTTGACAAGCCTATATGGACTTTTAAAGCATCTTGTAATTATATTACGAAGTCTTGCTATAAGATGATTAATTATGGTGGGATTTCTGCCCCCTTTTCGAATTGGTTATGAAAGTTTCCTATTCCTCCAAATTGTCATGTTTTCTTATGACTTGTTGCTAATAATTGTATTCTAACTAGAGATAACCTTAGTAAGAGGCAACATGTGGAAAATTTATCATGATAGTACAACGTGAAGGAAATATGCCCTAGAGGCAATAATAAATTTGTTATTTATATTTCCTTATATTATGATAAATGTTTATTATTCATGCTAGAATTGTATTTACCGGAAACTTAGTACATGCGTGAATACATAGACAAACAAAGTGGCCCTAGTATGCCTCTACTTGACTAGCTCGTTGATCAAAGATGCTTAAGTTTCCTAGCCATGGACATGTGTTGTCATTTGATGAACGGGATCACACCATTAGAGAATGATGTGATGGACTAGACCCATCCGTTAGCTTAGCACTATGATCGTTTAGTTTATTGCTATTGCTTTCTCCATAACTTATACATGTTCCTATGACTATGAGATTATGCAACTCCCGAATACCGGAGGAACACTTAGTGTGTTATCAAACGTCACAACGTAACTTGGTGACTATAAAGATGCTCTACAGGTGTCTCCGATGGTGTTTGTTGAGTTGGCATAGATCGAGATTAGGATTTGTCACTCCGTGTATCGGAGAGGTATCTCTAGGCCTCTCGGTAATGCACATCACTATAAGCCTTGCAAGCAATGTGACAAATGAGTTAGTTGCGGGATGATGCATTACGGAACGAGTAAAGAGACTTGCCAGTAACGAGATTGAACTCGGTATTGAGATACCGGCGATCGAATCTCGGGCAAGTAACATACCGATGACAAAGAAAACAACGTATGTTGTTATGCGGTTTGACCGATAATTAAAGATCTTCGTAGAATATGTAGGAGCCAATATGAGCATTGATACATCTCCGTCGTATCTACTTTTCCAAACACTTTTGCCCTTATTTTGGACTCTAACTTGCATGATTTGAATGCAACTAACCCGGACTGACGTTGTTTTCAGCAGAATCGCCACGGTGTTATTTTTGTGCAGAAATAAAAGTTCTCGGAATGACCTGAAAATCAACAGAGATTATTTCTGAAATATATAAAAAATATTGGCGAAAAGATCTAGTCAGGGGGCCCACACCCTGTCCGCGAGGGTGGGGCACGCACCCCCTGCCTCGTGGGCCCCCTGACACTCCATCGACCTCAACCTTGACTCCATATATTCACTTTCGGGGAGGAAAATATTAGAGAGAAGGATTCATCGCGTTTTACGATACGGAGCCGCCGCAAAGCCCTAAACTCTCTCGGGAGGGTTGATCAGGACCGTTGGGGGCTCCGGAGAGGAGAATCCGTCGCCATCGTCATCATCAACCTTCCTCCATCACCAATTTCATGATGCTCACCGCCGTGCGTGAGTAATTCCATCGTAGGCTTGCTGGACGGTGATGGGTTGGATGGGATTTATCATGTAATCGAGTTAGTTTTGTTAGGGTTTGATCCCTAGTATCCACTATGTTCAGAGATTGATGTTGCTATGACTTTGCTATGCTTAATGCTTGTCACTAGGGCCCGAGTGCCATGATTTCAGATCTGAACCTATTATGTTTTCATGAATATATGTGAGTTCGTGATCCTATCTTGCAAGTCTATAGTCACATATTATGTGTTATGATCCGTTAACCCCGAAGTGACAATAATCGGGATACTTACCGGTGATGACAGTAGTTTGAGGAGTTCATGTATTCACTATGTGTTAATGCTTTGGT